GCAGCCCGCGACCACCAGAGGCGCCGGGTCCGGACCGGCGCTCAGGACAGTGCGGCACTGTCACCTGGCGCTGCCTTACTCAGCCCCTAAAGAGTGGCCTCTTGGGGCAGCGCATCACCATCGGCGCTTGAGCCAGACCCCAAAGAGAAAGAAAGGGCCCACCTGGCACCCCCAGGAGACGCCTTGGGAAGGAGAGGGGGGTTTGCCCCATGAGTTGGAGAGAAACCACTAATCCGCCCCCTCCTCCCAGTCCTCAAGGTTTTCAGGATGTGAATCTGACTTATGTCCAAGTTACTGCTTATCCACACCCCCTCACACCTCCTACGGGGGAATGGCAGACGTGCTCCACCTCCATCCAAGCTGTGAAGAAGAGATGGGAAGTTCCCTTTGTGCAGGACCCTAGATTAAAGATTAAAGAGGATTTGCTGCATAAATTATCCAGGGATCATCAGCTGGAAGGAGGGAGGGAGAGGCGGAGTGGTCTTTGGGGCTTGCCCGGTGGCTGAGGAAAGCAGGGATCCCCAGGAGAGCCCCGCTCCCCCCCCCCACCCCACCCCCGCCCGGGAGCAGGTGAGGAGCTTGGGGACAGATGCCCAAGAGCCTTAGAGGCATTAGAGGCTCCGAGGGTCAGCGGCAGTCAGAGGAAAGAAGATGCCAGGGGGGTGGCGTGTTGGTGTGGATTTCCTAAGCTAATGCAGGTCTGAGCTGGTCAAGCTTGGGTGGAAGTTTCCAGAAGCATGCCTGTCCCTGACTCCCCAGAGCCCTCCCCGACAGCAGGCTGACTGGCCTGAATCCACTTGGGACAAAACGGAAGCCCAGAGGCATGGCCCTCTCTATTGGTAGGAGCGCCAGAGGCCTGCCTGCCTTATTTCAGTATCATCTGTGGCATGGCTGGGCTCAGTTAAAACTCATCAGAGGAGAGAGGGGAGCCTGGACAGGCAGGTAAGGTCAGGCTCAGAAAATAGGGCTGCTGTTGGAGATGGTATCCGTAGGTGGCATGACTGGGCGGCAGGATGGAAAGGGTGGTTGATGCTTAAAGAAATCAGTTCATGCAGAGGAACCTTTCCAGCTGGGTGACCCCGTTTCACCTCTCTGGGCCTCAATTTCCACACCTGAAAATGAGGGGATTAAACTAGGCTAAGAGTCAGCAGCTGGGCTCCAGTGAGACAATGAGAAAGTCTCCTGCCCCGGGGTAGATCGGGAGATCTGAAGCTGCACTCAGGGAAACAAAGACATAAAGAAAGAAACCAAAGGCTGTTGGAAGTCTGCAGAAGCAGCAGCTGCTGCCGTCAGACCCGTCAGACCCGGATGTCAAACTTGGGCTACACAAAGCCCCACTATTGGGAACTAGCTGGAGGCCACTGGTCCTCATGCAGGCACGTATAAGGATACCTCCGGGGTGTGCCACCAGCAGTCTGCGAGGCCTGCGCTGGGGGTGCTGGGCCCAGGGGAGAAAGGCCCCATCACAAAGCCTTTTTTTTCCTACAATCATAACATTCCTCCTACCCCGAGCCCAGCTTCAGCCCACGTGTGAACACAGACACACCTCGGAAGGCTGCTCTGCGAGCTCATCCTCCACGGGGGCTGGAATCCCAACTCCATGCTGGCACCTGCTGCCCACTCCCCACAGAGCCCTGCCTGTCCTGAGGCACGTTGGAGCCATCTTGTTTTGAGGGAAGTGAGGCCCCAAGAGACACCAGGGACCAGGGAACTCATCTCTAAGCCAAGGTTCTTGGGGTCTTGATGGTCAGTCTGTTTGTCATTACTGCACCACAGGCCCGACCTGAGGTATGTTGGGTAAAATTAAAGCTGAAGACAGACTTTGAGCTGTTCCATGTGTACATGGAACCCACATGCTAACCCTGCAGCATTCAGGGATCTGAGAGAACTTGGTCTGGGCATAAGTCCCTATGCCAGCTTTGATGATTATTGCACTGCCTGAAAGTCCCTACTCCTC